ATGGTGATTCCAAGGACAACCATCATGATAAGAACTACAAGCGCACGTATAGCGAGTACAATGACAAGGACAAGCATTATGATAATAATAAATTCAATTACTAGAGACGGGAAAAAACTGATATATCTCTTGAACATGGAGAAATTTTCTGTCTAATTCCTTTCAATTGTGATTATTCTAATTATTGTGTGAAAAAGTACTTTTCTTATTTTCATGTAATTTGTTTGATTGTTTGTTTTAAATAAGTTTATATAATTGTCATAATAATATAATAAAAAAATTTTTTCCAAGTTTTTCTTTAATATTCATTCTAAAGATTGATTAATAAAATTGAATTAAACTCGAGAGTTTTCGCGCCAAAATATTCATAATACCCGTTAAGAATTATGAATTTCACCCCACATCTTTGCTGGTGTTTATTATTTGATTTTCCAAAAGGGTAAACAATTTGGAAGTTTGCAAAATTTCACAAGTAATTTATAAGCTTTACATATCCAATATGTGTAATACATCTGAAAATGGTTTTCCAAACTCGTGATCTGCTGTGGAACCTATCAACTATTTTTTTGCGATTTTGGCGTGATCACGGTTTTCAATGAAATTTTGCCATTTAAATTTGATTGGATGATCTAATTAAATCAACTTCTATCTTTCGCGCAAAAAAAAAAATGGTCGCTCCTCACATTCGCTTGGCACAAAATGTAGAATATCGAGAGAATCATATTTTACAAGGCAGTAGAGTATTATGGTGTCGAAAAGCATTCAAATGATTAACTTTCTTTAAATGGTAATATTGATTAAATAATGAATAAAATATTTTTTTTTTGGATGGTTAATTGTTATATTTTATATTTTACATTTATTTTGCTATAATAAATTTGGCCAATTTGCTAAAAATTAAATTTCGACTAATTATAGTCGCGATTTTCGCGATCAAAATTGTAAAATCACGTGCGATTTTTGGTGTCACGCCAACCTACCTAGACCCAGCCCGAAATCCGGCATTTGGTTTTATGGATAACTTTAATTTCGTATTATATTAAATTATGGGGTAGGACCTTATAGAAAAGTTAAAAATAAAATGGCAAGGCTAATTAACCCATGGAGATATGAATATGGGAATATGGAAGGAAATATGACAGTTTATTATTTGTAAAATATATAAATAAGCATATTGAATCATACGTAAAGTTCGCGACGTGTGTATGATCGTCTTGAAAAAAATAATCATACCTTTTCTAAAAAAAAAAAAAAAAAAAAAAAAAATGCCAAAAAAACGTACCCATCAATCTTTAATTTTCTAACATACTCTCAATGTCCTGTACCACCTAGACCTTTTGCATGCTAAACTTGCATTTCAAGTAAATAGTCAGAAACGACCATTGATCATGATTGGGTATGGGAGCATCATTTGGTATGTTATTGAATGAGTTAATTTGAATATTTATGAAAAAATAAATACTATTTTTCATTAGGATGGCGGGTTACACGTTCTTTTCAAATAACCTGACATTGCTGATAAGAGCTGTCTCTATCTAGACTAGAATGGTACCAACTACCATCCGTCTTTTGAAAAAGTTTGTAATTTTAACGCGAGGAAATATTAAGAAGAAAGAGAACATGCATCAGCAACTTGTAACTTTTAACATTCGAAAAAAAATAGAGCAGGCCAAGTCTCAAGGTTTTCTGATCAAGAAATGGACCTTATAAAGTATCAGAGAAAGGTCGAAAGATTAACAAGCGACAATTTGATGATTATCACTATTAGAATGCAAGATCTATCTATTATTGGCGTTTTCGAAATTATCATTATGGATGAAAATCATTTTCATATTAAACTGAAATTTGTGTAACTATATTGCACTACTTCATTTTGTGTGCAACTAAATTAAGTAATTTGATAGAATATCAATATTTTCGTGCTTTAGTAATCCAACATATACACGAGTTTCGTCTTGAAAATTAAGGTATTTTTTAAGATCCTTTTAAAAGTATGGACAAATACATAGTTCTGACAATAAAAATATATGTAAATTTACAAGAGAAAAAAGGATTTCTTAGGTTACAAAGGTTGATTTTCAGATAGTTTTTATGTAAAATTCAAAAAATCAATTTTTTTATAATAAAATAAGATTTTTATTATTATTTTAATAAAAGTTTTTGGTCTTTAATTTTCTTTCTATTTCATACATTCTAACGTTATTTTAAAAATACTAATATTTATTCAATTTTTTCATTAGTAGAAGAATTTGGTATCTTCCAACTTTGAAGTTTTTTTTTTTTTCATATTATGATGCTAATATCGATATGACACGCGATTTTTACTTTTTTTTTTTTTTTGTTGATGGCATACTTTATGATTAGTGGAATACCTTCTAAAGTTAAGTAAAAAGTTTGTTTAATAATATTAGAATTGATTATTTCTTACAATTAAAAAAAAAAGAAATTCTAATTAAAATATTTTCTACTATATGGGAAAAGGGGGAAATCCAAAATTTTTGTTAATTTTAATTATTAAGCTAATTTTGTACACATGACTGAGATCAGCCAAATGGTCCAATAATATAAATTTTGACTAAAATTTGAATTTCCCCCTTTTCTACTGACTGCCTCCCATATCATCCAAGTAAAAAAAAAATATTGTGAAAGATTTATAAGTTTAAAAGCAAAATTGTCTGTTTTTCAAGTAAGATCCACTAAAAGTTAATGAGTGTTCGAATTTTTAAGTTGATAAATTAATAGTCGCGAACTCAACGAACAATCATTAAAAAAAAAAAAGTATAATAAAGTTACACACTTGATATATATGTAACACCATTTGCTACCGTATGTTATAGGAGCTTACATATGAGCGACTTCAACAACTTGAACTTATTACAACCGAGAGGTTTGACAAAGTGTTTAAAGAGAAGTTATAAGAATATCGAAAAATTCCATATATTGTACCGTCGCGTAAACGAATACTATTAAAGCAAAAGATGTTTATAGTTTGGTAACGTTTTGTGGAAAATTTGTTCTGGTCGTAAAACCATATGAGAATCGCTCCTTGGTTGTGCTTCTCATGTTAAATATCTGTCACAAAGAATTAAGACCTATAATATATACTAAAACTTTGAAATTACTTGCAACATTATGCTGGCACGATGACTATTTTAAAAAAAATGCCTTTTATGGAACTTGTTCTAAAATTCACTTTTGTAATTTACCAAGAAGCACTATTAGAAACCAGATTATATGTTACATATTGAATTCATTTATTTCTCGTTTTTTTAATTCTTTTTTTTTTTATAATTACAAAGGAAGATGATACTCCAAAATTTCCGGTTATAGTGTCAATACCCCAAAGGATCGACTTTTAAATGAAATTATATCAATATACTACTGTATAAAATAAATGACATCGATAAAAAAGTCCCTGAAAATGTAACTAAAGTTTTCATTCTCCAAATGTCTTTATTTTTTTTTTTAAAAAAAAAATAATAATAATGAAAAGATATTGAAATAGTAAGAAGAAAAAAATATTTACAGAAAGGTTTTTTTTTTTTTTCCTAAAAAAAAAAAGTTTTATTCAACTATAAAAAGAATAAAAAAAAAAAGACTATAATAAATATATACATACATATCGAAAATTGTTTGTCCTGTAAGAGCGCTACAATACAATTTTTTTCTGATTCTGTAAGTGATTTGTTTTCGAGTATGGAACGGCAAGCTGCCTCCCAGTCTTGCTGGCTTGCTTCTCGTACTGCAGAAGCGACAGCAATAGCTACAATACGCGCTCTATTTGAATCTTCAGCAATAATCTCCTCTGTTTTCATGTCGTTATTAATGGTGAATGGCATTTATATGATTTATTATCTTTCATGTTTATTTAGTTATATATTGTAAAATAGTGAGGTCCCTTGTTTGCTATAATATAACTCGTTCTGATATTCCAAATTTCAAATTAAAAAAAAAACTAATAAATATCCACACTTACTAGTAAAAATAAAAAATCGGTATTAATAATGAAGAAACGATAAATGATTTCAATAATGTATGTGGCTGTAGTTATTTATATATAATCATTTTATAAATCTCGAAAAATAAATTTCCCTGTTTGACTTGAATCTAGACCATCAAAATGTGGCGTCTATGATCATCAGAACTGAATTTTCCTGATGAATATCTTGATTCAACAAAAAATAAAAATCTAGACCAGACAATTAATCCTTTTGAAGATGAAATATTTACATTATTTTTAAATAGGGAAAAATAGGCTAAAAATTAACAAATTCCCAAAAACTTTAAATTGGGAATCCTTATTTAAAATGATTGGAAATCCGAAATGGCACCCGGATATTTATATACGCGCTTATTCATAACAATATGCAATTCCGCCAAAAGATGCAATCCATTTTAACATTTTCAGGAGAGTATTGATAAAGAAAAAAAACAATACTTCAAAATCCGTTATCGATGAAGTAATGAAGAACCAATGGAATCAAAAAAAAAAAAAGTATAAAACCAAAGTCGCAGTGCATTTTCTGTAAAAAGTGACGTTTTTATCATATAAGGAAGATATTCATTAAACTTGATTTAAATATATGTTAAAAATATTTAAAACGACGATTCCAACCCTACTAATTTTAAGTTTGGTGTTCCCAGCAAATTTTTAAATCAATTCTAAAAACTTGCATGATCATATAATATATATATTATTGATGTTTTTTTTTAAAAAAAAAAGGGGAAGAAAAAAAAAGGGTAAAGATTAGATAAGAAAATGTCCTTGTTGACCAGTAGTATCCAGCAAACAAATCGATTCAGAATGTTGTTTTGTGCATTTTTTCATAATGATTGAGAAAGAACTTTATTGAAATTTTTTTTTTTTTTTTTGCAAGACGCGAAATCCTTGCAAAGCATTTATTCGCTTTATAATGTATACCTAAACTTATACAAGAATAACTTTTTATTGTCTTAATTAATATGTAAAAGATTGAAAAGTAAATAAAATTTATAAAAGATCGGGTGTTGTCATGTGAAATTGTTGGGACATGGCCTGGGACACCGGGACTTAATGGGGGACATAGTGTGACAGTCTCAAAATGCTTGAATGTACATCACTGGTTATAATATAAAATTTGTTTGCTTTTTGTAAATTCTAATATTCACATTTAACTTTTATTATAAATTAAAGGTATAAAGCTTGAAAATAAGTTACGTTAAATTATTAGATAACATCCTCGATCTCAACCATTTTCCATTTCATTATCATTCTTAAATTCGTCTTCATAATCATCTAGATTACCTAAAGATTCGTATTCTTTCACCTCCAGTTCTAGTTGAGATAATTTCCCAATTGTTTGTTTGTATTCAACCCGTAAATTCTCGTATTTAAATTTATACATTGGGGGGTCAATTTCAGTAAACCTTTCTTGAATTTCTTCTATGAGATCCACTAAAATGTTATTTTGAAATTGCAAGATTTCTACCGTTTCGGTTTGTTCTGTGCTATTTAACTCATTAACATTTGTTTCATCGATTGTTCGCCACATATCATAAAAATTTACCTTGGTTTCATGTTGTAGATATTTTGACCATTCCGTATCAGAATTTATTCCAATGATAGATGAAATAAATGCAGCAACTAAAATTCCGGATATAGTAGTTAATGTGGCAATACATCGTCCAAGAAGTGTGATTGGTGACACGTCTCCATATCCGGTTGTTGTCATTGCAGCTACACTAAAATAAAAACTGTGAATCACGGATTGGAACGGACTTTTTTCTCTGGTACCGTCCGGTAATGTTCTATACCAAGTTTCTGTATATGACTCAAATTCTCCCCTTTCAGCATAATACAAAAGTATTGACGAAACCACCATTACAAATATAAAATTAAGCAAGTTTAAATAGATTTTATATGCCGAGTTCAAAAATACATTGGTCGCAACCTGAAAAAGAAAAAAAAATTAGAATACTAATGAAGTATGATGTAATTTCAAAATAAATAAAAATAAATAAATATACCATGAAACCATCAGAGATCCTTCCGATACGCTTCAATGTTTTGATGATTCTCGTCACTCGTAGAATTCTTACGAATCGAAGAGATGACTCCCTGGAAAAGGGACTAAAGATTTGAATATAAAATGGAACTATTGAAATTAAGTGTAACAGATTGAAGGGATTAAATAAGAATTTAAGCTTATTAATAGCAGCATAATATCTTCCCAAATATTCCAAGGTGAATATTGACACTATTAAAATATCGGATGGTAGCCTAAAACAATTCCAACGCTAGATTAACATGTCTTCGGGTAAATCAATTAAATAAATAAATAAAAGTAGATTTTCAATTACCATATGCGTGTATTGATATGTTTAATTATGAAAAGTTTCGGTAATGAATCAAGACAAATTACTATTATCGTAATAAATACACAGATAACGGAAAATATAGAATAAAGTTGCGCCCATTTTGATCGAGGTTCCTCAAAGAAATAATAAAATTTCCTTTGTAAAGGCGTTCGATATAGATCATCTTCAGATGTTGGTTCATGCGTATGCGCACCCTTAATGATAAAACCACAAAGGTAAGATGATGCTTGCTCTTATTTTTATTTTTTTTGAAAAAAAAGATATATATATTTACAAAAAATTATCATACATGTTGTAAAGGATAAAGATCCTTTCTGATATTGGTTAATTTACTTTGGTCATTTTCGACAGTTTCTTTATGTTGATAATTGATGGATACCGCATCAGTGCTTCTATTATTTAGATAATAAATGTAATAATCATGATAATTAATTCATCTTGTAATTGAAATAAATCTATATTCAGTTATCTATTTACATGCTATTTACATGGTAATGGTAGAAAACGTTTCAAGCCTATCGGAAATAATAATTTTGGGATCATTTTGGGAATGTCTCAATGGATTATCAACAAGATCCATGGGAGCTGTGTATTTGTTTAGATAGGCATTATTAGAGACTTTATATTATTTTTTGAAACGCCCAAATGTCATGCGTTGTTGTATTTAAGTTATATATAGCTGCAACTTTGTAGATCCTCAACAATCCTGGACACCAAAAAGCAAGTTGTAGAGCGAGACACATAATTAATAACAATACCCTATTGAAATATATAACTAAACCATTTTTGTAAAATTTCATCATTTGTTCCATTTCAGGTTAATGAATGTTTACAATCCTTTTATTTAAACTTTTGTGTTAATAATCGAAAATAACTCGTTCAAAGGTTAATTTTTCTTGATTGGATATGAAGTTTTTTAATTATGAGAATCCCCTTGGTCATCTGTTTAAATTACAACTTGTAAATTAATTAAATTAATTAAATACACGTGTTGTAATAATGATATGTCATTTTTCGGCCAATTCCGTATCAGGGAAAATTGATAACAGTCTTTTTTGACAGTTTTATTTTCATTATCTCAACAGGTTTTTTTGGTTACTGGAAAAACAGTAAAGCATCATGTTGAACAATTTTTGTTTATCGCATCTTTATCCCGAGATAGGAACCCCCAAAAATAAGTAATTTGACTCCGAATTTGAGGTAAAATATACTTTATCAATAGACTAACCTTATGTGTTTTATCCTTATCATCAATGAAATATATCTGGATGATAAAAATAAAAATGGTCCTGCAAAAAGATAGGATAAATCGTTTTCACTTATTTGAAGGGTCTTCAAATTAGGATGTAACTTACGCCATTTTCATGGATCAAAACTAAATTAACTAAATTAAGTAATTCCTTAATAAATTTGTAATTTTCCAACGTTTGTAATTGCTTTTTTCCGATTTTAAAAATTCCAAATTTAATTCCTTGAGAAACCAAATTCAACGATTACATGCATTCAAGGTTACAAAAGCTACAATCAATCAACCCTTCCTATTAGATGTTAGATATCAGGAGGGTGAGAAAAATATGTCAATCCAAATATCAAAAATCTGCGTGTTGCAGCTTTATTTATAAAAAACGTGACTTCCATTGGTCTAAACTGATAAAAATACGCATCATCTATTTTTTCTATTTACATTTTTTAAAATTTGCATCCCCTCTTTGATAAAGAACGAGATTATCAGACATAGTAAACAATAAATAAATTGAGAGGTCAACATTTTTTTGTTTAGAGTCTCACCACTTTACTATTTGAATTTTTCGTATTTTATTGCTTTATCAATAAAGAATGTATAAATATTCATTTGTAAATTAAATTTTTAACCAACTTTTCCTTTATCTTTTCAGATATTTTTTTTAACAAACTCACTCTTTTTATCTTAATTATATATATTATAGACTACATTCGCTCTCAATATATATATATATATATAGATTTTTTTTATTAATTTTTTAAAAAAAAAGATTTTTTCCCCCCTCTCACAATTATTATATTTTTCTTCATGATGTTCCGAGATTCTCAATGGGTCGATCAAAAATCAAAACAAAAAAAGACTAAACGTAAACACATCGATTCAACAATTTCCGACAATTCCTCGACAAATTCTAAAATCAGTCAACGTAGTGATAACGAAATGGATACAAACAGTCAAGAATTTTATGATCCTTTGCCGCCTTCAGATTCCAAAGAATTACGAAATATTGAAGGGGGAGAATATTTTTTACCAAGCGCTGACAAAAATATTGAAAGATTACAAATGCAGCATTTTTTATTCAGATGTATTTGGCAATCAAATTATTCTGCCCCAGTGGAAGAATTTTTCGAGTCTAGTGGCGCAAAGGTATTGGATGTTCAGTAAGTATTTTTATTTACCTCATCATTTTAAGATCTCTTGTATTTCCCCGCTTAATCAAACTCGTTATATAAATAGATGTGGTAGTGGTGTTTGGATGAGCGATCTAGCCATCGAGTTTCCTAATTCGACATTTGTCGGCGTAGATGATGATGCAGACCGTGCTAGAATAGAAATTCAATTACCTAATGCCGCATTTCTTCATCACAATATAAAAGATGGATTACCCTTTCCCGATGATACCTTTGATTTTGTCCATCAAAGATTTTTTACTTCTGTGAGTGAAGTTGATTGGCGAAAATATATGTTGCTGGACATGATTAGAGTATTGAAACCTGGAGGATTGATAGAGTTAATGGAAATGTCTCCTTTGGATAATGTTGGTCACGTGACGAAAAAAAATGTTCGAAGCTTGTATGTATAATTCAACCTGCGATTGAAAGATCGATGGTTGATGATATTAATTTCCTTGAACCTGATTTTTTTTATTATTATTAATAGATGATAAATTTAATTTATCGAAAGAAATTTATCAATTGAATCCTTCCGGATTTCAACAAGCCTTAAAATCCACCAAATTGATTAAATCCATAGAATCAGAGTACAGGATTACTCCACTCTTTGGCGGAAGAGCTTCTCAACTGGTAATTGGTTTGGTTATTTTAACTTTTCGTAAAAGTTCATGGTACTCACCACGCAATTTCTTTTTAGGTTTGTCAAAATATATTTAAACGATTTGAAACAAAGAAAAAAGAATTTTGTGAATTTTTGAATTTAAACGAATCAGAACTTGATGAGAATTTAGAGAAGATGCGCGAAGAAGTCATTACACACAATACCTTTTGTAAAACGTACAGGTAGAGATCCATGTATAATCTCTTTTGGACAAAATTTTTGCTAAATCGGCGAAATTCATTTTATTTTCTTTCCTCGTTTAGGGTTTACGGAAAAAAGATATGAATTACCATCTATTTATATGATCAAAATCGAATCTTAAGCTGTAAATATTTTTAAATTATGCCTTTTGTCAACTTAGAGTAATAACCTTATAAAATTTCAAAATTTTTTATAAGTAAAATGATGATTTCATATATGTTTATTGGTTATTTTTAAACGTTATCCTATAGAAGAATATAATACAAGATTTTTCACATGTATATAATTAATTTATAAAAACCTCACAATTACAAATTCCAAATAACTGCACTATATAGACTATTTAGTAATATCAATTATTTTTTTACAGCCTTGTTATGAAATAGGAGAACCAACCCTATTATTTTATTTTTTAAAAATAAAATTTTTTTAAATGATTTTTCTTTATACAATTATATTCGTATAAAATTTAAAAAAATTTGTTAACATACCAACTATAACAATCAATTTTATCAACATGATTAATACAATTAACCAAAATTTCCTTTCGCCAAACCACGCGAATCTCATATGAGATGATGTTTTTACGCCTTTGTTGAGATGTTTGAAAGACTCATCCTTTATGTCATGTTGGTGATCATGTGAATAATTTATATTTATACTGGTTGAAAAGTTGTCAACTTGCATATTCTTGTCTTGTAATTGAGAATCTTTCATATTTTAAAAAAAAATGTTTACAGCTACTTTCTTTTTTTTTTAAAAGAAACGAAGTACCTTATTAGTTAAAAGAGGAGGGAAAAAGGATAATGCATTGTCACCTCACATGCAATTAAAAAATCAATATGATTCCTAATAAAGCAAATTTTATTGGTATGTCAAAAATTAGTGCAACTCTGACGCAATATAATCATCATTACATCATGTTGTAATGTTGATTTATTAATTTTTTAGGACAGCAAAATATATAAAGAAATAAAACAATAGAGAATTCTTACAATTTAATTTCTTCTCAATAATGGCCGAAAATCTTCCGGTACGGATTCGTTTCAGCGATCAACAGTGTTCCTTTTTTTGGTTCTTTTTTTGGTTCTTTTCTTATCAGCGTATTATTAAATTATATACTGTATATTCTATAATCGATCGATTTATCAGAAAGTGGGTAGTTTGCTCGAAGCGGCCTCTGCAGTGGGTCAAAATTTCGATCCTGTCAATAAGATCCATGAACACGTTTGTGGTTTTCATTTTTACAGGTGATTAAAAAAACTATGTTCAAATTTGTTTTTTTTCGAAATTATCTATTTAAAAAAAACCGATTTTATTTTTCGTTCCAAAGTCACGATATGTCTCGTCAAGTAGAAGCCCATCATTATTGCAGTCACCTTAAAGATGAAGTTCGTCAATGCGTTATTTACGATTCTAATAGACCTGACGCACGATTGATTGGCGTTGAATATATTATCTCGGCTAGGCTTTTTCAAAGTACAAGCAATTGAATTTGAACATAGATTCATATGTGCCAATGCTAATCCACCGCCGAATTATCTTTTTAGGTCTTCCCGAAGAAGAAAAAATCTATTGGCATTCTCACGTTTATGAAGTAAAGTCGGGTATGTTGATTTGCCCCTTTATACCAGTGGTGCCACAAGCAGTTGTCGATAAAGCTGAAAAGGTGGTCATGGAAGAACTTATTGATACTTATGGAAAAGTAAGAATTTCCTTTTTTTTTTTCCTTTTTTTCCTTTATTTTTAAGGGATATATGCTAAGTATCTACTTTCAAAAAGACCTGGCATTTTTGGCAAGTTGACCGTGGGGATCCTTTACCATATGGTAATAATCTTCTTTTCGGTTCATCATTTGATAATTTTTTTATTGATATCGGTAATATTTATTCATTCTTAGGACCGCCTCAACTTATGATGGCATTTCTTGACGATTTTCAACTTTCACAGAAAATATTAGATGATCGTGATAAGAGATTTAACATTTCTACATCCCATTATCGTAAAAATAGAGAGGGTATTCATCCAAAGTATAATCGTGACCTTAAGGCTGATCATTGGGCTTCACGAGATGATAACATGGCTTATCAAACCGAAATGAAATTGGTCGAACAAAAATCGTTGCCTACCAAAGAACAAAGGAACGTTCAAAAGTAACGCTTCACATTTTTGATATCGTCGATGACGGAAGATTACACTTTTTCTCTCTCTTTTTCTTTTTTTTTTAATGAAAATTTGAATATTCACAAATTTATACAATTAAATAAACATGTACACTCATAATTCAAGAAATAAAGAAATACATTCATGGTTGTTAATTTCTTTGTTATCATCTTGGCTTTTTTTCCCCCTTGACGGCATAATTTTATTTTAATAATAAAAGCTCAATTACATGACGACCGTGGTATCGAGACGTTTTTCGAATTTTTTTTTGGTGTCCATTAACTTGAGGTCTTGCGTTCGTTTGTTAACGATCAAAGTTTGATTCGTTCTAAAGTTTCATGCAACATCTGGAGAGGTTTACAATTCAATCCGAAAAGAATCGCTAGTAAGTCTGTAATCTGTGTTGAAATTAACCGTAAAAAAAGAGCGTAAAAGATACTAAGGAATGTGATTATAACGGGAACTTTTTATTAACTGGTCAAATTTGTTACACCAATTAAATTGCGTTTATTTTTAACAAAGGAATCATAAGCAGGGATGAGCACATGTAGTAAAAAAATCGAATCACGAGCCATGGTAAAACAGTAACTTAAATCGTCCATAAATAAATAAATCTCGAGAATGTAATATTATCGAGAATAACAGGCTTATCTCATTGTGTATGACGTATACACCGGTGGAATTATTATTCTTTTCTATCACGCTACTTCATGCCTTTATTGCCATCTTACAAAATTAATTTTTATCACATTGTCTTGTAGAAGAAGCAATTTACATTACAATAAAACTAAAAGCAGATGGATATTGTGCAAGAATTCCAAGCGGAATGAATACATCAACTACAAGAACTTTAACTAACACAAAAAGCTATAAGATTTAACGTTTCAACACTAAATTCCGAGTGAATTATCAGAATTTTAAAATTACATATTCAATAGTACAGTTAAATATGTTAATAAACTCGTAATTAAATAAGCAAGTTTTTTAAAATAAATTTTCTTTTTATAATTACATCAATGTTACTAATTATAAACTAGTGGAGTAAGTGATAAGAAATTCCACCGGTGTATACATAATACCGATGGGATATCTTTAATCATAGATTATAACTTTATTTTTTAAATAAAATGAACTAACTGATCAGATTGATCTCTTTTTTTTTTTAAAAAAAAAAGAAGCTGGTTACTTTTAAGCAAGTAACTGGGATTGGATATCTTTTTTTTTTATTATTTATTTTTATTTATTTTATTTTTATTATTAATATTTTTTTTTTTTTGGCACAAAGAAAAAATTATTGTTTAATAATATGAAATATGACAAATGAATGAATGATTCAAGTTTTTATCAATCGGAACTTTCACGATTTGAAATCAAACCCGTCAGTTCAATAAAATAGATATGCACATTATCAGGATTCCTTTATTAAAGAAAATCACCACGCGGAAGCACAAACTACAAAAACAACAATGAAGCTACATCTTTTCAAGTCATGCTATGAGCTTTTCCTGAATCACAAACCGTTGATGGGAAAAAAAAATTTTATTTATCATCTTACGAATGGAATTTTCTAAAAAGATAAGAATAAAAAAAAAGTAAAAATAAAATTTTTTTTTTTTAATTGTTTGGGCTTACATTACCCCATTCTCAATCGTATTGTTGATGCATAATATTAATTGAATTATTACCATTGAATATCATTGTTATGTAATTAAATCGATCTATTTAGAGAACGTGGAAGCACGTTTCATATAAAAGATAGTTTAATGAATAGGGAGGTATTTAAAACAATAAACCGATAAAAGGAAAGGAATGAAACATGGAAATTTTTTAATGATCGGAAATGGTTAAATTAATTTTTTTAGAAAGAAAAAAAAAAGATTGAAACAATCATTGTGAGCAAAATATAAATAACAATAATTTCTCTTAAGGAAATTTGTTTATTTTTTTATTTATATCATAGTAAATAAACCTAAATAAACCTGTTCTTTTCGTTAAACAAACCTTCATTTAAAAAATCGAAAAGGTTTTACCAGAACAAGTCATAATAGGTTTTACAATTTTCATGAATGGTGGGTGGTAATCGATGTTATCACTTCCAATCTAGGGCCATATGGTTAAAAAAATTCTTTTTATTTTTTTTTTTTTTAAAAAATAATAACAAAAATAATAAAAATAATAATAAATCTACGGATCTTCTTATTTTTAGGTTAAATTTATGACGCTTGGGCGTCATTGATGGACGCATGGGAAAATGAAAAAAAAAAAAAACTTCAAATTAAATCACATCTCAGATGATGTATTTTCGGAATTCGGAAACATTCTTCTCCTCAATTAACACACTTTGAATCAGGGTCTGACAAGGTTGTGAGTAATTGTATAGCTTGTAATGCAGTGTAATAACACATAACACACATGAATTGAGCTTTAATTCCAAGAGTTCTTTTTGATTTGAGTTATGCAAACGAACATGCGCTCCATGTAAACGATGATCCGGCGTGATTCGTCATCCAAATATTAAAAGATAGATATCTCAAATATGAAAGAGTTTAAATTTAAAGTTTGACATTCGTGCTATATATAGATTTTTTTATAATTGACTGAAATAAACTCGCTCGAGTCATTTTAGAGAACGTTCTCGATGATTTGTAACTAAACAATATGTTCGTTGATTGATGATGGATAAGTTGATATTATAAATTTTGATATGTATTGTTCAAATTAAGTCCCTGAATCATTCCCGTATTCGTTTACACTTGTTGAATGATGTAATAAAAATCAAGGGCACAAATGTTTGTTTATCCATTTTCCCTCTAGTATCACCTTCCTTATATGCCGAAAAACGTTGCCATGCGAATTTTCTCTACATTTCTTGGGCCAAGAATGTTGTCATACAACATGTTTAAGTTCTTGATATTAATTAATATCTCTGGTCGATAAAAATTCTTTGAATATTTAAAGGAAACTTACCTACAAAAAAAAAAAAAAAAAAAAAAAAAAAAGGGGGTAAAAAAAATTAAAAAATAAAAAATTATATATAAAAAAAAAATTAACAATTATAACATAACATCAACAAAATTCCTCCTTCAATTAATCGCCTGTTTGAAATTCAATCCGACCTATCTTTTTTTTAAAAAAAAAAAAAAAAAAAAGAAAAAGGAAAATTATTCGAGGAAAAATCGCGTAATGGGTTGCCGCAATTGTAAACATTTAGTTGATGATAACGTCGTAGTTAACAATAGTGCGAATAATGATATTAACACAATCAGCGACAGATTTGCCATCCCTGATGAAGATGAAGAAACAACGTTTTCACAAATGATACATTATGTACACAGGTTTTTATGGCAAGGAAATTATTCTTCGCCGATCGTTGAGCGATTGAACGCTGGGAATGCGAGAATATTGAATGTAGGATGCGGACCAGGTCCAGGATGTTGGTTGTTAAATATGGCAAGAGAATATCGTTGGGACAATTTTTTCGGTGTAGACGTTAACCCATCAGTTTTTCCTACAAATGTTTCGGATTTAAATGCCATATTCTTAAAGTTGGATACATTAGAGAGGCTCCCATTTGCCGCAGAAACATTTGATTTTGTGTTTCTTCGGTTCGTATCGTTCACGGAAGAACAATGGCAGACAAAGGTTGTAAACGAACTCGTTCGTGTGTGTAAACGTGGCGGGTGGATAGAAATAATGGATTGTGAAAACGAATTCTACAACAGAGGTGTAACCACGAACCGATTGATAACCGCATGTATGTATTCAAAATAAATAAACGGCTTAGGCACTTCAAAAATTTCGCGTCAATTTACCTTTTTTTTTTTTTTTTTTTTTTTAGACCGATTTTATCTGGAGTCCAAGCAAATAAACCCTCTAATAGGTTCACAATTCGTCAGATTGTTACGTGAGACAGATCAAATTGACAGCATTAAAAGGGAGGAGAAGGAATGCTTTTTGGGAAATGAAGGAGGACGAGCCGGACAATATTTACTTCGAGATTTTGAATTAAATTTGCAAAGTCCAAGAGTTATAATGTCAGAAACTATGGGCTGTACGAACGAGGAATATGAAGATTTAATTCAGGAGTTTCATAATGAAGTCAAAAGATTGAATACTTCCATAAAGTATGTAAGGGTGTATGGGCAAAAGAATTAGGGGGTGGGGGAAGAAATTATTATTTATAATTATGAAATGTAAATTTGTAAATTAACTAGTTAATATTAATCTTCATTCAAAAGTCATAAAAACAAAACACATAAAATTCTGTAATTTTGAAACACATAAAGGGATTTCATTGTTTAAACAAAAAAAAAAAAAATTGAATGTAACGTCCGATGACGAGTTACAATATACAGAAATCAGGTGCCAATTAAAGGGTTGTTATCCTTATACGTCGCAAGCATTCTTGATTAGTCCATGCAGGGTAACATCAAGTGTTGCTGCGCTTCTATAACATTTACATCAATAACCGTTTTTTTTTTTTTTTACGGATTTGATGAACTGCGCAATATTCGCTAAATGAGTTCTCGTGATTACTTGGCGTGCATTAAGATTTATAATATGATTTAATATTCTCGATACCTAATTTAACCAACAGAATGGACATTCATTCGGTAGTGTTAAACCGAGTTTATTACTTAATTGGATTTTTTGATAAACCATATTAGTAATTCGATTGCTTTTTTTACGGTTTTTTTCATCACGTTCTCGTGAGTTACCTCTTCGAAACCTATATAGGTAATAACACAATGGGAGAACTTTCAAGTGACCATCATTAAATGGAAAAAGGATTGTATTAAGATTGCCTAAATTGGTTCATTCTCATTAAATTTAAGAATCTTCATTCCTGTACATGACCAATGACCAATAACTATATTGGAAATGAAAGAAATTACATGTAGATTTTTTCCTTTTGATTATGTATGAGCATCACATTTTAGATAAGAAAGCCGTGTCACATGCGGCATAATTTTTTTAAAAAATTCTCTTTATTTCATTTACATAAGTATTAATTATAATACATTTTAATTTTAATCTTACAAATTATCTTACAGGTTTACTTATCATAAAAGGTTAGAATTTAATTATTTAAAATAAATTTCAATGTTAATTTTCGTGATACCGGAATTTTTCTGAAAGGTTGAAAGAAAATTGATAAATCGCAAATTCCACAAAAAAAAAAAAAAAAAGAAAAAACAAAAATGTGATTTTTACCTTATTTCGGGAATTTCGGATTTTTCGAACGTTTCGGAGGTTACAGAAGTTTCGAACGACGACTTTTCGAATGATGGTATGGAGTTCATTAACGTTGCGTTTCTTTTAACGAATTTGAATATTATTTTATTTTGACCTCTCAAAAATTAAAAAAAATAATTTAAAAAAATGTGATAACTAACCTCGTATATATTTCGGAAATTTTCTCGGGTTCGGAAGTCTTCAATCTTATTAAAAAAAAATCCAATCCATTCTCGTAAAATGATTTTAAAATTTCTACAAGAAGCGATAAAAAATGCAACCTTACCTAGATATAGAAGCATCGATGCAAACGACATTTCTTGAAATTTGACTAGATAGGTTAAGTGACGAAGGTTTTGATCCTTTTGACAAGCGCTGGTTGTAATTATTTTTAATTTGATTTGGCGTTCTATTGTTACCGAGAAGCTTTGCAATCTCTGCCCAACCATGGTTACTTTCACGATAACGGACAACCATTTCATCTTCAAATGACGATAACGGGTTTTTGTTAACTATGCAAAAAAAAAAAAAAAAAATGAATATGTATTATTTACGTTTCAATTAAAGAAAAATTTCCGAAAAAAATACTAACTGCTTTTTTCGAGATGTCCACAAAATCTTTGAAGGTAAATTCGAAATAACGTTAAAACATTCGTAAAAATTCAGAAAATACATCATCTTGAAAAAGAGGAAAACGTACCTTTCTCTACATTGCTTGGCATCACGAGTACCCATTTTCGAGGCAATGATGCGCCACCGTTTAGCGCCGAAGTCTTTAATCAATCTTTTTAATTTTTCATCCTCCTAAGGATACAATAATTGTTACAAATTAACAATTTTATCATGCGAAAATAAATTGACGAGTTATACTGTACCTCTTTACTCCAGTGACCGACATTAGTATCTAATGATTTTTGTGCTTTTCTAGTTTCTTTGAGCATTTTTATAAAAGGTAAGAAATTAATATTATATACAGATCTAAATAAGAATAAGTAATTTCAAGGGCGTTATGAACGAACAAAAGATTCGAGGATTTCACTATTGATCTAGTCGTGAACAAAGATTTTTAAACTTTTGTTGGTTTTTTTTTCGAGATAATTGACCTCCTTATTTATTAATTTTCCAAGAGGTCACCTGAAAAAAAACACATGATTCGGATTCAGTCGGTGATCAAACTACAAAAAAACACAAAACGTGGAAAGTATTTGTTTATCGACAATTGCATTATTTAATTTGAATGACTTACTCGAAGCATTTTCAATACCAAAACTTTTATCGGAGATTGAAATAATTCGCCGTTAAAAAACATCCGGAGTTTATACCCGATCACTTGATGCCATTACTATGGTGAAAGATCTTCAAGTAACAGGAAATTAAATGCAAATCACTTTCACGAGACCGAACAATTTTGTCCCAGGACCAGGAATGCGCTGAATGTTCTGAATGAAATTCCTATTTAGAAAAAAAATCCTATAAACAATGGATTATTTAATAAGATAAGGAAAACGAATTGGGAACGAATCATTTTGATAATATACTTTACGAAAATTTCCGGTGTCTCATGTGTTTTCACTTTCTTTCGAAAAATCGTGCGTCCGTGAAACCCTCATGATGAAATTTTATTCCAGGGAATTTTATAAATTTGGTGACAACCACGGATGAATGATCATGAGATGATGATGAATTACCAAACCGAATTCCAAGTTAAGAATTTCTTAAAAATTTTAATGCAAATCCTTGCCGCAATTTAAAAAATTGGTTTCGTTTCGAAATCGAAGTTATCTTTGTTTTACGCGATGTTGTTTGGTCATGAGAACCAGTCATCGGACCCTGTGTCATTAAATAAATGCTACAAATTTAAATTTTACATTGCATTAAATCATTTAAATTTTAATTTTCTTTGTCAAAAAAAAAATCAAAAAAGGAATTCTAATGTTATCTTGTAAAAGAGAAAAAAATACTTTGCATAATTTTAATGAATGAACGATTAAAAAAAAAAAAAAAAAAAGAATTTAGGAAATGCGATATCTTCAGTGGTTGTTGTAGCTGCGGTATGCCCGAGCCTTCCGATTTTCTTACCGAATTCCGCGGAATTTTCATGAGAACTGGTATTATTTATTTAATTCCGATTTAAGATTAGATAACATTTATTTTTAAAGTTATCTTTGAATTTTTCATTCGGATAAACAACATAGCACGTCTCTTTTTTTTTTTGTTTATTTGTTTTGATCTCGTGAAAAAAATACAATGCAAATTTCGCCGAGTCTCGTAACGATACGTAAAACAAAATTGTCATTATAATTGAGAGATTTACTCATCATAAAATCTCTCAATTACATAAAGATATTTCAATTCCTTCTTTAGGAAAATGTCATTTGATAAAAATATTGATCTTTTGAGAATTTTTTCTTTTTGTTCAACGAGGCTGTGCCATTGTAATAAATAGTCACATGATGATGTGTGTGTTCCATTACACCGATGAGATTAATGCATGCAAACATTTGTAAGCTTGTTTAACTATGGAAAAGGTCCATGTGGTTTCATAACATCCCTTCTGAAAGAGATTTGGTTAACCTTTGTTGAACAAAGCTTCAAAAGTTTTAATAATGAAAAAAGGTATGCAATTAATGTTATGTTTGTTTAAATATTAACGATAATAAATAAATTTGTTAATTCCTTCAACAAAATAAATTAGACAACGACGACAAATATAATTAACGACTGTATGTATGTATGTTATCGATATATTATTTGACATAACGTCTTTATTTTTGCGAATGACTTTTACCCTAAAAAACATTATATTAAATTGAGATTTATACTTAATTACACATCATATCATATATTTCATCCAAACAAGTCTTTTTTTTTTTGCATTTAAAAGTAAGTTTTCTAAAAACATCAAATTTTTCACAAATTTGTAAAAGAAGTTACGGTATTAAAATGTTTTTAAATTGAGGATATTAATCCAATCGAATTGGAATAATAATAATATTTTATTTAATACGACGAACAAGTTTACTAAAAACATCTTTAAAAATTCTCATGTGATAATTTAGCCAAAAAAATTAAAAATTGTCACTTTGGTTTTCCTGCCAGAATTAAGAATACCATTCGATTAAAATTTGAATCGTCAAATACGATTTGTAATTTATTCAGAATTTAGTACATACATTTCCCAAGTTGTTTGACAGCATGGTAAGCCTGTCTAGTCGGTAGAACCTCAGAATAGGATGCTTGACCCCTAAGGTTGGGGTCTTACTCAGGTATGACAACTGTTGGGCTGGTAATTGGCTGACTTGGGGGCTTGAAATAAAGCTAAGGTGGGTAAAGGTTTGTACAGGCTTCTACTGGTACCGAACTGTGCACCTTATCAGAAACATAAAAAAAACAATTAATTGAAATTAGTAAATATAAACCAATTTACAAATTTCAGAATACCTCTACTTAATCGATAAATTATTACAGTAATTATAATATTTAACGTGCAACGAATTTATTTATTTATTTTTGTTTAGAAGTTAGGTTTACGCGATTATATTGTTAAATCATGGTAAATATCAAAGTTGTATTCCGAAAACGCCGAATTCGGTACATGAAATCAAAACTTGGAATTAGCAAATTTTTTATCGGAAAAAATCGAAGTAATAATACAAATTAAACAAAACTCCTTTACTGGAAATCGGTAAGTCTAAGTGCCTATATTTAAACTTGGATTTGTGTTCACTATCGCAGGTTGTAACCGTGACAAGAATACATTTTAGCTAGGAATCGTCTCTCGTATATTTTTTAAACTTCAATTTTTTGGAGTTCCAAACTAGACTTTATATTTAGGAATAAGATATTTTGAAGGTTGATAGTTTTTTGGATGTTGTGTAATGCTGGTAAGTTGGGAGGGATGTTACATATAGTTTTTGTTATCTGAACATGCAGCACCGTGGACGCACTATGACTGTTTCTTAGTAAGTGGCTAACAGTTCTCATCTGTGCAGGTACGGATAGTTTTTATTTACTTCTCTTTAGACGTATTTGTAACTTTGCGTAAAGTGCTTATATTTTAATACCTTATTTTAAATACTTTTTTTTTACTTAATGAACCGTCTAATGTTAATTGACCTTGTGCTATTGTTTTAATTCTTCATTTTCTATGAAATACTAAAATTTTATATTAATTATAAAATATTGATATTGGCACTATTTTTATACGCGTAATATTGAATGAAGAACCAATTTTCTAAGGCCTTATTGAATTTCTCCATTTTTTTTGAACTATAATGATTTCACGTATGATCAGTGTTGTACATGTTTTATGTCCAAAGCATTTTATGTCCAACACTATGTCCAAAATATTGTCCAAGAATGTCCCGTGACAACACTGCGTATGATGTTGCAATAAGTGTATATGTATATAATTAAATAAATAATCTTTTAACCGAGTCACGAGGATCAGATAATGAAATTGACTCTGATATCATTTCGTATCATTAAACTTGGTTTTTTTTTTTCCTAACTTGGAAATAAATGACATACTCGAGGGATAAATTTTCATAGAACGTATATGTAATGAATTGATTTACCACATTTACCACATTTACCACATTGACGCGAAGTTTTTTTTTTCCTATAATCATATTTTATGTGAAAAATTATTTATTCCGGAACTATTAATGCAGGCCGAACATCGTTGTTTCGGGTAAGATTAAAATAAACTTTTAAAAAAATTGAATAAAATCACGAGATTTAAACTATATTCGAAAAATTGAAATTAGAACAAACGTCTCAAAATATAATAAATATTGTTAACCGATTTTTTCACGTGATTATATGATATTAACTTTGGGAATGATTAATGCAGGCCGAAAATAATTATTTCGGGTTTTATATATTAATTAGATAAATGCGCATCACGAAATCTAAATCAAGCAAGTTGATAGAACATCTACCTTACTTTGGAAACAATAACAATTCAAAAATAACTTTTTTTTTGATTCCAAATAATTGTCACTTCTTTTTTTTTCCTTTCTTTTTTTTATACTCGATATAACATTACCTTGCTAAAATGGTTTTGTCAAGAAGCAGTTTTTTTTAATACCGACAGGAAGTTTTACATTATAAGGCTGTCCCACCTAAGTCTCAAATTGTCCCTGACTATGACTATGTCCAAACATTACACTTTGTTGTTCAAATGAACCTTTTTGCTATCATTCAAGTTCTACAAAGTACTTATGATTTTTTTTTTATTATTAATTGTAGAGTTTTGGATTTAACCACTTTACGCGTAATTTTGAACAAATTTTCTAAGGCGTTGAGGTTCGTGTTTTAAACCTTATTGAATATCTCAAAAAAATTTTATTTTATTTTCTAAGATGGAAATCAAATAATATATTTAGACTTCTCATACGAGTATAGAGATATAATACTGTATACTGTATTTATAAAAAATTCCGGGTGGATTTTAGAATTCAAAAAAAAAAAAAATGGAAAGACAAAGAAGAAAGGTTAGTTATTCAAATGGTTTTAACGATTGTAAAATTTATCACGTTTTATATGCAAGGTCCTAATCAAAATTTTAATGCTATGAACATCGTTTTTAGAATTAAATGCAATATTCACTAGGGTAAGATTTTTCTTGTATATTATATTGTGAAATCATTTCATGATTTGATTTACGTGTAATTTAAGATTTCAACATATATATAATTATGAACAATGACTTTAGTATTCTATAATTCTATAATGAACAATTATCCAAATGTAATTCTTAAATTTAATAAAAAGTTATATATTTTAGTTAAATTCAAACAAAATTCAGTATTTAATGAGATTTTAAAATTTCCTTTATACGCTACAAGGACAAATTATTATTATTATTGTTGTTGTTGTTGTTGTTGTTGTTGTCGTTGTTGTTGTCGTTGTTGTTGTCGTTATTATTGTTATTATTATTATTATTAGGACCATTATCCCACCTGAGTAAAGTCAAGTGATCATTCGCTGTAAAAACCCAATAATTAGGATTTCGACTTGGTGGAGGTTGTTCATCTTTGATTTGAAAAAAGGTTAAAAAAAATAAATTAAATTGAATTAAGATATTAATCTTATCAATTAATAAATCATTTACCGTTTAATATATTTATTATTTCCGAAATTAAAAAATTATCTTCAACCTCGGTCGTGCCACTCCAGAGTTCATTTAATTCTGAGACTTTGTTGATTTAGATTTAAATAATGTTTTAATTTGTCACGAAAATTACTCAATCGTTTTTATTATTATATAATTCCTCTTACCTTTCGTTGGTAATTGTTCATTAACGGAATCATCATCTAAATTAAATAATGTTTTAAATAAAAATTATATTCCGTTTCACGAACTTCAAAAATTAAAGTAATTCCGCTTTACATATTGGTTCCATTATTTGATATGGATATAAAATAATTTCTTCATCGTTTAATGCTCCTAAATTAACAATGTTTTAGGTAACGTAACAATAACACGAACGTTAAAGAATTTTAAGGGGGTGCTCCTCTTTATACCTTGCATTTCATCCATTATATTTACTGGACTTTGCACTTGTTCGTGTTCCGCTACTGGTCCACGTTTTTTACCTGGCACAAATACACACTCTATCCTTTTTTTCTTGCAATTTGCGCAAGGTGGGCCAGGTGAACATTTGATTTTTTTATTTCTGCAGTTATTGCAGGCGGTTGTAACTTTTTTCCTTTCAATATTACTCATGTTTCCAAAAAAAAAATAAAAAATGAAAATAAAATAAAAATTACAAAAAAATGATATTTTGATTCTTTAATGCCTTAAGCGCGTTACAAGAAGAGAAAAAAAAAAAAAAAAAAAAGAGAAAAAAAAGAGGATAATTTATATATGGATTATAAATTTTCAAATGTATGAGATATATTGTTATGATCACTATTATTTGAAAAGGCTAAAAAAAAAAAATTGCGCGCTTACAAAAAAATTTCCAAAGCACTTATTTATATCTAAAAAAAAAATATTTATTTATTTATATACATTTTAATATTTTTTTGGATTTTAACCAATATTAGCGCGTTGTTTTAACATGTTGAATGATTAAATTGCAGTTTAAAGAAACTTTTCATTTTAGATATAAAAATTTAAAGTTATGATACCAAAATAAGATTACGCGTCATGACACAAAGAAACACTGAATGAGGGTCTAGAACGGATAATAGTTTTTCAAATACAATACAAGTAAATTGTATAAAGCAAATAATAATTGAAAATTTTTAATTTAAATTGTTTTAGTTGTTTCACATTCCACATTCCTATAATGTAAGGTACCCGATCCGTGCTTACCAAAGATAATAAAACGGTCATGAAAAAACAAGGAATAAATGAAAGAAATGAATTCCAGTGAATTCTTTGTCTGCGTAAATATTTTATTGTTTCGAAACTATTTCGATACATTGTATGCTCGAAGAGCAAGGACGAAAGCTATTTATTATGTAATTTCCAAATTAATGTAACAAAAACATAAATATTTATATCTTTTGTATAAGCTAATTTAATCAAATTAAGGTAGCGGAAAAATTCGTTACGCAAAATGTGTGAATTTTTTAAAACGACTTTCCCAAAAATAAAAAAGAATAATCAAGAATTTTTTGTTGTTGAGATAGATATCTTCATTCGGAAAGAATTTTTTTATTGTACTGTGACTCATAGAAATTTATATCAAATTTAGAAATGATCTACGCTGATCTTCTATCTATAAAATTTAAAAATTGGAAAACCCGATTTGATTTTTAGGGGTTTAAAATTATTTTTTTGGTTAATCAATCTAAAAATCAACTGCATAATCAGTATTACAATTTTACTCTCTATTGCTTAATAAGTAAATTTTGTTACGTCCAAATCATGGTTTGTTTATTTTTGTCTTTTAAAATATAAAGTTCGAACATCTATTCAATTATTTCAATTCATCTATTATTCATTTAATTAGTATCAATATTTTCTTCTTTTTATGTCAAACGCGTATCATTTGCCACGACATTCTCGTATGAGTATCGATGATATCAAATAAAAGGTAATTTTAAAATGCATAAGTGGTTTAGATTTTTTTTATTTAAAGAATTTATATATTCATATGCAATGCTTAATTTCCCATATATTCTTAATTTTTTTTTAAAAAAACATAATGATTAATAAATTTCTTTTCCTGAAAGAATTTTTTTTAAAGAGAAGATTACCCATAGAAAACATTAAATATTTAAAGGATTTCTTTTTTGTATATGTACATTGAAAATTGTTTTACGTATGTTAACCTACATTCAAATTATTGCCAATGTTATGATTTTTATGCGTTGATGCAATAAATAATAATTAAAATATATGCGATGAAAAAGATTGCTATAATGAAAATTGAATGATGCGAAAAAAAAAAATTATTAATGAAGAAATTATTATGATGGGTTATTATTATAAGAACTATTTCAAATTAAAAGTAAAGATGAAATCTTAAAAAAATTGATTTTCGCGGATTTGTTGAATTAATTGACTTCGCTTCTTTGTCTCGGTTTTGATCCCCATAAATTTCTTTATCGTCAAAGAAAGAGCCTTAAATGATAATTTATGTTTAGGCATGATCGAATGTCTCTTTGGTTTTTTATCTTGTTTGACAACTTTTACCAGTTCCTCATCTTGACAAATCTTTTGTGGTGATTCCATGATGGTTAAATTAGGTGCACTGCAACTTTTGAAACCTTGGAGATGATCCAATTTTCCGGCGCTTGTAATGTCCGCACTGAAATCTATTGTTTGACGTTTTTGCATGACAGAAATTTCTCGACGGTTTCGTTTTGACGCAGTGGCAGCGGCTACGACGAGGTTTGCCTCGAATTCATCGTAGTTATTAAAATTTTTCTTTGAATTGGAGATCGGTTTTCCCTTGTGAAGTACAATTATATGAGGTCGTTGTACTCTCTGAGCTCTTAACGCTCTTTGTATTTCATAATCAGCCTTGGAGAATCCTACGCCGGAATCAAGAGATGACAAAGATGTATTTGACGTATCTGACGTATTTGAAGTATTCGAAGTATTCGAAAGCCGTCGATAATTCACCTTAATTTTTTCATCAACTTGAGGTTTTTTATTTGAAAAGATATTAAGAGAAAGTCGATTTGCATTAAAAGTTCCGGGATAACTATTTCTAAAGTTCAATTCTGAACGAACGGCAGGACAATAGCTGGCACGTTTTTGATTTTGCATTGTTTATTATCGTTATATATAGGTAGGTTCAAAAAATATCTCAAATTGTCGTCCAGGACGAGATATATGTTAAATGATTTTATTTATGATGATAAAAAAAAAAAATAAAGTTTTTAAGTTTTGGCTTAAAAAAAAAATCGATTTTTTTTTGGTAAAAAAACTACAAATTTTTTTTTTTTGACAGTACTGACAAGCTTCGAGCTTATATATATATTTTTTTAAAACAATGGATCACCCGGTTGAATGTCGGGTTTCTAGCCAGTGGCAAGATGTACAATTATTCCTATTTTGGACCAAATTTGACCTTTGTCACCAATTTATTTATACTTGTGACACGGGGGAAAGCTGAATTTGGTCAATAATACATAACAGTTAGAATTTCTAGTCTTAAATTTTGTGGCGTTATCTATATAAAAGATACATTTCTATAAAAAAAAAAGTTTCATTGAAGGTTACTTAATAGATAGAATATTACTTACCCAAGTTTTGAATATCAAACAACAAAAAAAAAAAAAAAAAAAATTTCTTCCCCAATTATTTTCATTTACATTGTAATAATGAGCATTGTTGCCTTCTGAAAGTCCCAAAAATAGTTGACAAGCAATGAAATGAGCCAAGGTTTTGTAGTTGATTTTAGAGAATTTCATAGTGAGATGAAAATTCTGAAAATTTTAACCTTTGAGCCTATCGGTTACAAGACATTCTTCTCACGAGAATTGTTCTTTTTTGAACCTTAACAAAAAAAAAGAAAAAAAAAAGTAGGTCATCTATTGATAGTTTTAATTTTTTATCAATGAGAAAAATTTTTTTTATTGTCCCATTAAACGTATTATTTGTCGTAATTTAAGTAAGCTCATGCATCGAAACAATAATTTTTCATGTTCCAACTATGTGCTCATTATTCGCGCGCATCTGCAAGATACCCTGCATTTAGAAAGAGTGTTTACCTAAATATATTGTAGATCATCCGAATTATTTTTAGGTAAAATTGATAGTGGCGCGATTTATAGCCGAGAGGTTCTAATAAGGATGGATTACGCTTAAACATTTCAACAGGCAATGAGCCCAAAAAAAAAAACGTGTATGTGACGAGAAATATAAATGCATTTTGGCCAAGGTTCAACACGAATCAGATAAGTTTACTTTCAAAAGCAATTATTTTATTAAGATAAAATAAGATTATATCATCCGATTAAGGTATACTCACGTTTCAGATGCATGGACGAGTTTCAGATATAAAGAACAACTCCTGACATGTGATACCTTTTCTCTATGATAAAAAAGACTTGAATAATGATATCACATTTAAAAAAGAATGAAGAACTTATTCAGTATACTGGTTATGACCAATTCCAGTTCGTATTCTTGTTTTAATCCTGATTTTTTAGAATTCAAAATGGAACGAAAGAAAAAAAACAATTGTATTTAGAATGATTTTCGCTTGTGATTCCGTACTAGAAATCAATGAACCTTCTTTTGTAAAAGTGGTATAAATAACGAGAAAGTGGAGTACATAACGTGGTTATTTTTTTTTTTTTTTTTTTTGAATTCTCACAAATAAAAATGTTCGAAGAATTACTAGTTACCTTTTGGTTACTCTGTAATCCAAAAACAGAAAAGGTTGAAAAAGTGGATGATGACACATTTACACATTTTATCATTTTTAAAAAAAAAAATTAAAAAAATTTTATCGTGTAACAAAATTGGTTAATTAAAATAAAGACTGACAAAAAATGATTAAACAGACATTTATCTAGCCATAAATTGGCTAAATTGGTCAACTTTATTTTCAAGTTTTTTTTTTTTATTATTAATATTATTATTCCCATATGCAATTATGAATTTCTTTATTTGAAAATAAATTGTATAATTCGGAATCCCCGATAAATAATATAATAATTTGACTTATCGATATCATAATACAAAAATTTTTTAAAAAAAATTTCTGAATATGGGAGGTTTATTTCACAAAATAAAAACAATTAAAATTTTACATATATTATATAATGTTATCATGTCAAATCACATCAAATTAATTTGTCTCCTTGATGACATAAAAATTTCCTCCTAATCCAATGTTATGATTGGTCTCCATCCTGATGAAAAACTAGAATAATTATTAATTTCTCTCTATGTTTGTGGTACATGTGAAATCTTTTTTATTTCTGGATGATCATTGATCGACCAATGACGATCTTAAATGAGAATAATTTGTCAAATCTCCCGAACAAATTTTAATGTCTTCATGAGATTGAAATCATTATATCACGAATGAATACTTTTTTTTTTTCTTTTGATCACGATTTACAAATTCAGATTATTTTGAATGAATTACCATAATAAGTGCATTACATAATAAAAAAGTAAACGAAACAAAATCCTTTTAATTTTATACTTGGGAAGGATGAAACCTTTTTTATGGCTTGTAAGGATTACTAATTATACATCATTATTTGCTTAGTTTATTATAAATTATAAAATTTGTGGAGATATTTCAAAATGACCTTGTTTACCAATTGGTTGTGAATAGCATAAAAAATATTTGTAATATTTTTTTTTTTTAAAAAAAATAATAAATAAAAATATTTCATTTTACTATAAAGCAGCAAATTAAGGTTTATGCACACAATTATCATTAAATGCATCAGTTAACTCAACCATTTGATTGGTCCGTAAAGGTGAAATATCTGACATATATTCCGATCGACCTTTTTCTTCTTCACTCATGAACGAACGAAATAAAATAGACATAAAAGTTGAAATCTCTCTTTTTTATTAAAATTAAACACGAACTCATTCGCTTCAATATGCTAATAATCACAAAATTGGGGCTCCTTTTCGGAACATCCTCAGTGTTTGTCATGTGTACGATAATATCCGTATACCTAGCAATATACAACCGAACGAGATTACGGATCATTAGGTGAGCATCAAGGATCAATCCTTTGAACAAAAAGAAAGGGAGAAATATTGAACTAACCCTTTCGATTTACCTTCCAGCGTATCATGTGCACCCGTGCATTTTTTGACCATAGTGATCACATTCTTCAGGATTTTTACGGGGTGGCCTAACCTATATTCGTATATCAACATATCAGTAATTTGTGGATCAATATTTGGAACCGTAGTAATAATTAGTATATTGGATATCGGAAATAATTTCTATAATACAACCCAAGGACATACTTTATTGTATAAAATCGTTATTTCATTACTAATAACATGTAACTTGTATAATTTCATCGAAATATATCTAAACTATATAGATAAAAAGAGAGCATTTAGGTTGGCGATAATTTTTCATCACATTCTATTCACATTTACTGGAATCCTTTCATTTATATATTCATTTAAACCGATTTTAATCATGTATAACCCAACAACAAATCAACGACATATAAATTCATCGGCGGCTGCGATCGGAGTCTGGTATGCTTCTACTATCGGAATATTTATAATCTTATTGATAATTACGAGTGTTTTGATGAATTTTATCCAACTGAATGAAGATGGGTGGTTCGTTTTTAATTCTCTTGATATTACTTTTAAGATATTCATCACGACGTTTATCGGGCTTAATCCTCCACACAAATTTGTTCATTGGATAAAATTCTTTTTCTTCACGAGAAACATGATTAACAATGCTTCAGTTAGAGAAAGGGGTGTCATAAGTAGTGGAATCATCAATTCCTTTGCCTAGCCTAAGATTTGTAATGTACGAGCATCACAAATTCGGTTTTAAGGTTTTACTTTGCATATCTACCTTTTCTTTTTTTTTTTTTTTTTTTGTTATTGATAATTAAATTGGGGATAAAATTAAAATAAAATAAATACAAAGACCAATCGTCAATTAAAATATCATTCACTTGTCATTGTGTATTGTCTTCATCTACCGGATTCTTTGCCTACATTTTTACACTTCAACACATAAAAGGAGCTGAATTCTTCCAGGGAAACAATTGGTGTCTGGTACGCTACCACCCCTATTAATCATTTCCATCATAACGTATATAGTAAGAATTATCGTATAGTTAGCCCCATTGAAATTATTACTAGAATATTCCCCCGCGCAAAATCATTTTTTGGTTACGAACGATTTTCTCTACGAGAAACATGATGAATGTTCACATATAGAAAGGGGATTGGTAAGTATGGGATGGTGAGAATTAGAAATGACAATGTCATTAATTTCATTCCCCAATGATCTTAGCTTTACCTAGATATTGCTCCAATTGCAACTTGATTCAATCTAATCGTTCACATTTATTTTTTACACCTTACTTCCATTTCCTTTTAGGTTTTTTATAATAGCATGGTTCCGTTTTCATTTTTATATTTTAATTTTTTTATTGTGTGGTATGGTTTTGAAGTTTATATTCGGCAAATAAAAAATAGATTTCCAAAAAAAAAAAAAAAAAATGTGGTGTAATATAAAATCTGCACGTGGAACGTTCTATTGGAGGAAATGAAAAGGGGTTATTCTTTTTTTGGTTTGGAATATTCGCGTAACGATCAAATCCAATACCAACCAACCTTTTTATGTAGTTAATACATATTTGATCTAGACCGTAAAAGGTTCCATTGTAATCTTTTAAAAAAAAGTTTCCTTTCTTTGGTTATTCGACCATTATAGGATTAATCAATTCATTGTAAAAAACACATAGAAAAGGAATTGTTATCGAAGTCAGCATGACTCTTTTATATAAAACTCCCATCATAATAGTATAAATTTTTTATTTTTTTTTTGATGTTCAGATCAAAGGGGTTTTGAATATCATTCAAACCAATTTTAAATCAATATCGACAATATCTTGAATAAATAAATTTTTTTTTATGATGCAGTGTTACAGGGCATGGCATTGACAGTTAATATGCTTATTTCATTATATGTACGTGTATCTCACCTTAATCTCATCTCACCAATACATCATCACAAATGCATCATCATCACAATAAACTTTCGATAACCGCAAAATTTTCATTTGAACAATAAGATGACAGAACCGTGTTTTCATCAAAATGGTCTCACATAATTGAGAAGCATTTCCTTTTCGTTTATTACTTTGTGACCTGAAAAAAGAAATCGTCCTTTCAACTAATACAATTTCACATCTCTTTTTATATCGTCGTAAGATTTTCAAGTTATGGGATTAAGTCAATGGATTTATTCTTTAGATAGACATTATGATAATTCTGGCACTATTAGTAATGATTGTAGAAATATTTTAAAAAATTGCGTGGATTGTATCAAGAATACGTATTTCAATACTCCTGAACTTTTCACTCGGGAAATTTTTGAATTCGTCGAAAACGAAGGTATAATCAACTGGAAGGAGGAAATGGTGTCATTTTCTTATTAATCAAACTTAAACTAACTAACCTTTGTAAATATTAAATTTACAAATAAAAATCATAAAGTTCCAGAAATTTATTCAATTATCAGTGAATTTGAAATGGAATTAAAAATTTTGGAACAGCAAAATAAAAAAGCCCTTATTAGAATGGAAACTTTATCGTCATCTAAGAATATTCTTAAACAAGATGTTAGTGAAATACAAGAAAAAACTCGCGTAGAAATCGAATGGAGTTATAATGCTTATAGATGTCGTTTACAATTATTTATGCCAACTTTTAATCAATTAATTAAAAGAATGCGATGCAAAATTAATGAAATCAATGAACTAAATGAGGGAAGGAATATGGTTAATACGATGGATATGGATCAGGAAGAAGTTGATGTTGATGTTGAAGATTATGGAGAATGAAAGGTGGTGACATTTGAAAATATTAAGGTTAGCTGGCTATAAAGATGAATGATCACGCCTTGTAAAAACAGCGTAGCGATAAAAACGTGCTCGCTAATCAAATATAGACATTCATATTCAATCGTTAAATCACCCGTCTGATGTTACCGTTATATCGGCTGTTAGAATAGTACCAAAAGTTACTTTTGTATTGATAAATTTTGGTTATTATTAGCTAACGCTTCAATATTCGGAGTAAAATTATACAGTAATTAAACGAAAAAAACATTCATCTTTTTTGGATGATCGTGTAACTTGACTAAAGTGCTTGGTTGATTTTGATTGGCCAATTTCACTACTTATTACTTACCACAAAAAAAAAAAATGATTTTCTATTTTTTTTTAACCAAATCTAATGTTTTAGATTCACCATTTAAGACGAGCCATATGGTAATGTCAAGCATGAAATTTTAAAAGCGTTAATTATAATATCTAACTTTATACTATCTCGTATGTATAATTTATACACAGAACTCGTTGCAAGTGCTTTTTCTTTAAAGAGGCTGAAATAGAGTATTTTATCAACTAGTATTTAATTTGTTATATTTATCTCGTTGAGATGATCTGAATGGTAGTAGTTTCATAAAATTATCATTATGTATCATATTTTATGGTTTCTGTAATTTCAACTAACTTAGTTTATCTCATATGATTTATTTATAGGTTTAAAAATGTATAAAAAAAATTGACTTGGAATTTCCCAGAAGGTAAAATTTAAGAATTTTGATGATAATTAGCATTATGATTTATGATTTCGTAAATCAGATATTGATCAAGATATGATATTATAAAAAAATTTCTATTCAATTATATCTAATTGATATTCTCATATTTATATGTTTTATACTGTATATAGGACATATAGGACACGAAACTTTATAACAAAATTTATTTCAGGAGTTCCTAAATGACATGATCAAAGGTAACTTAAATAATGTTTGGATTAATTAATAGTTGTTAGATTCGTCTCATTGACATGCACAATACTATCAAAATATATTTAACCTTCTTAGTTGATTTTATCTAATTTATTATCGTTATATATAGAACACGAACCTTTATATTTAGAAGACAAAAAAATTCAAGGTAATTTTGGTATTTAATGACTAATCGTTTGTTAGATTATTTTATTATGATGAGTAAATATTGATGATGTGAATTTTATATAATTTACTAAATTTTTTATATTGCGTAAAACTTTATGAACAAATTTTTCTTGAACTTTTTTAAATAAAATGAGATCTCATTATTCGGGATTAATGATGAATACTAGAGATTTTTTTTTTTTATTAGTAAAATTACCTTCTTTTATTTAATTGTAGGAAATTTATAATTAATTTTTATTATACTATATAATTCTTATTTTTTTTTTCTTTTTTTGATTTATACTTAAAAACATATTATAATTTTTATTATAAAAATATTAGCTTTTATAAATATTTTATTTATTAGAGCATAAATTTTTTTTTTGATTTTTATAATTATAATCTAAAGAAAATTTCGTATGTTAATTCTGTTATAAAAAATGTAATATACTCTACAAATATTAAACTAACTATAATGAAATTTATTATTCACATATTTTCAAATCAGTTGAATAATTTTACTTAAATAATAAAAGACGACTTTCTTTGACCAAGATGCACTTTACCAAAATGCTCCAAATACTCTTTGAAGAAAATGAATGGATAAAAAAAAATTCGTAAGTTGGTACTGTTACTAAAAATATAATTTATTTCATGAATATTAATCCAATCATAATTAAATTTTATATTCACATATTTTCGGATCTGATGAACAACTTTAATTAAGCTTCTAAAATCGATATCCTTTGACCAATGTGCTTAAATTGTTCTTTGAAGTCACTGTACGGATTAAAAATAAAAATAAAAAAAAATTCGTGAGATAATACAATTACGAAAAACGTTCATAACATTACAACCATTAATCCAATCATAATAAAATTTTATATTCACATATTTGTGAACCCGCTGAACAACTTTACTTACGCGACAAAAGTTGATTTCCTTTGACCAAAATGCTTAAATTGCTCTTTGAAGTTACTGAACAGATAAAATAAAAAAAATAAAAATATTTCATGAGATAATACAATTATGAAAAACGTTCATAACTATTAATCAAATAATAATAAAAATTTATATTCACATATTTTTGAACTTACTGAACAACTTTACTTAGGATTCTAAAGCGATATCTTTGAATAAAGTAAGTGCTTAAATTGCTCTTTGAAGTTACTAAACAGGAAAAAAAAATATATATATATATTTCATGAGATAATACAATTATAAAAAACGTTCATAACTCTATAATTATTAATCCAATCATAATGAAATTTGTATTCACATATTTTCGAACCTGTTGAACAACTTTAATTAGGCTTCTACAGTTGATATCCTTTGACCAAAATGCTTAAATTGCTCTTTGAAGTTACTAAACAGATAAAACAAAAATAAAAAAAAAACATTTTATGAGATAATACAATTATGAAAAACATTTATAACTCTATAACTATTAATCCAATTATAATAAAAATTTATAGTCACATATTTTCAAACCTGCTGAACAATTTTACTTAGGCTTTTAACGTCAATATCCTTTGACCAAAATGCTTAAATTGCTCTTTGAAGTTACTACAAAGATAAAAATAAAAATAAAAAAATATTTCATAAGATAATACAATTATGAAAAACATTCATAACTCTACAACTATTAATCCAATCATAACAAAAAATTTATATTCACATATTTTCGAACCTGTTGAATAACTTTACTTAGGATTCTAAAGTCGATATCCTTTGATCAAGATGCTTAAATTTCTCTTTGAAATTACTAAATAGATAAAAAGATAAAAAAAAATTCGTGAGATAATACAATTATGAAAAACATTCATAACTCTACAACTATTAATCCAATTATAACAAAAATTTATATTTACATGTTTTCAAACCTGCTGAACAACTTTAATTAAGCTTTTAAAGTCAACTTTCTTTGACAAAAATGCTTAAATTACTCTTTGAAGATATTGAACAGATAAAAAAAATTAAAATTAATTTATTAGTTAATATAATTACAAAAAATGTTTATAATTTAAAATTTAAACTTTTGATTATAATAAATTACAAGTAATTTATACATGTACTTTATTAGAATATGAAAAGTAAGTGAAAAATTAAAAAAATAGTTCCAAAAAAAATAATTTTTTTCAAATAGTTTATTTTGTTTGATTTAATTGGTTGATCAGGTTGAATCACAGGTTGATCAGGTTAAACTAACCAACATAGTGGAATTTCCTAAAATGTCATTCATTTTTTATATTATGCTTATTGAAAAATTATTTTATCGGGTGGCTTTTTTTCTTTATAAAAAATTTTACATATTTTTTTTTTTTAAAATGACTTTAGTGATCTAATTTAATCAGTTTATTTTATTTTTTTATATTATCAATTACAAACATTTGCTAATTTCTTTCTATAGTTAAATCTATCAATACCTTTTTATTCACTTCTTCTACTCTATCATTCTCTTTTTATGTTTTTTCTTCTTCTTCCAACTATCTATACTCTTCAGTAAATAAAATAAAACCTTTTGCCAATTTTTATAAAAAGGATTTAATATTTATTATAATACCTTTTTTATTAAATAATCTTTATAATGTTTATAATAAATTCTAAGTATGTAAAACATTTCCAATAATAACTATATTCATAAATTAATACTTTTTCATCATATATAAGATTATTTCAATAAGTGGTTGGTTACATAGAATTACAATAATTAGGTAAAGAAGAAAATAATCAATAACAAAATTTAATAACAAAATTTAAGCAATTTTAATATTTAATATTATTTCACAAAATCTAAAATGATAAATTTTAACTAATTATAAGTAACTCAAGTAACTCTATCATATTGAATCAAATTGATTCAAAGCTCTTATTTGTTAATTTTTATTTTATTTTTTTAGATAAAAAAATAAAAAGAATAATATCATAGTAATAATTCAAAATAACTAATATATAATTATATTATAATAGCTAGAATAAAAAATTATTTAAAAAAAACTTATTATATATTAATTTAAGAAAATTAAATTAATTAAAAAAAAAAATAAGTTAAATAATAATCATTTATTATTATATTATTAATTATTATATTCAAATAATAAAATTAATTTTAATTGATCAATTATTTAAAAATTAAAAAAAGAAATTAAATTTCAAATTGATGATAAATTATTTTAATTAGAATTTAAAATATAAAATAGACTATATAAATTTATAATATTATTTATCTCTTAGATTATAGAGTTTGCAGACAAATTTGTCTGCTTATTACTATAAATTCTCTTTCAATTTTACTTAAATAAATAATTAATATTTTTAAAAAATTGTTTTTTTAAATTAATTTTATAAATATGTAATATATTATAACAAGTTTTATTTTTTAATTATATAATTTAATGTTATTTAGAAACTAAAAATTTGTAATTTTTAAAAAAAATTTATTATAAAAATTTCATGATTATTCTATAATAAAAACTTTTTAGAAGAATTTATTTTTAATTATATTAATTATAATAGAATATTATAAAATTACTTATAAAAAAAAACTTTTATTATTATAATTTTTATAATTTATTAATGTTAAAATGATTCAATTGGTATATAAACATATAAATTTATAATAAGATGCAATTATAATTTCTATTTAATTTATATTATAACTTTATTTTTATATATGAAAGCTTTGCAGTAAAAATTGAAAAAACTCTAAAAAAATTTTTTTGAGTTAATGATAAATTTGAACTTATTTTACTAAAAAATCATAATTAGCTTAGAAAGTAAAATTTCAAATTTTTTAGAGTTTCCTCACTTTCTACTACAAAGCTTTCATATACTAGGTAACAGAACTGTTAGAGTATTTGAAGTTAATAATTAAAT